TATTCAGGCGGTTGCATATACCAGGGATACTGTCGATTAACGAAAGCGTATGCAAGCTTTCGCCGTTGATCAAAATTTCCACTCATCACAGCCATCCGTTCTACTAATAAAATATCTACGGGCTTGGGTGCATATAAACCCTCCTCCTTCTGTTCTGTTTGTTGGGAGTGCTCATCTTCTGCTCTGAGGTTTGGCTCGGATAGAAGTAAGTCAGTGTTATTGGTTGTCTCTGTTGGCTCAGATAACACCAGCTTCTCTTCTTTCTCGTCAAAGCAACAGCGGATCACTGTTGGCGGCTGATAACTTCTGAAACCGCGATCCGCAAGGTACGCGTGCAGCCAGATATTGTCAAATGTTTTATCTGGCTCATAGAAACTACACGTATTCTTGCTCGAAGTATCACATACATTCGCCTTCAGTATCAGTGGCCATAGATTTTCGAAGAAGGACTCCTGGAGGGTCAATCGAGACATGATGGCTTTGTTTAAATGATTTTAACTCAACGTTAAAAGACTGATCTTGCTGAATTATATAATTAAAAAAGGGTTTAAAATCAGATATTTTGAAAACTACAAATAATTTAGCTTTCAAACAATATTTTTTTTTTTGAGTCCAAGTATCGCCTTAACATAAAAATCAGATAGTTATTAAAGTCGTCTTTTATCAGAATGGATGAAGAAATTTTTGCGAATATTTGTGAAAATGTTCGTTGCACGCTTCTGGCCGCCGACATGGATAAATTAAACTATGTGCGTGAGCTACAGGCACGAGTTCAGTATCAGAAGGTTTTCACTAAAGTCCTTGGCTCTGATGACTACGTTGACGAAATTGAGAGCGAGTGGATGACACGAGTTCGCGAATACAGCTCGGAGAAGCAATCGTCTGAGGATTTGTACGAAGCTGAGTTAGAAGCGGAAGAAAAGCTATTGGAGACAGAGGAGGAGGAGGAAGAAGAAAAGGCAACTATTGAAAGTCTATTGAAGTCTATTGAAAGTGAGGAAGAACTAGACGTGGACGTATGGCAGGGTTACTTTAAGGGCTATCAGATTATGAGTGAGAGCCAAGAGAGCGCCCTTGGCGATAGCAAAAAATGCATCGAACTGGTGAATGGAGAGTGCGACGCGTCTATAGACACATATTTGCGTAAGTATCTAGATAGACCTTGTGAAGTGCTGTGCCCTCTACTCTTCACAACAATTCTTGCTCTTCTAAAACATTCAGAAAGTTCATGGGAGCTTCGTGGGTAGGGAGTGAATGTGCTCAAACTATGGCCACATCGAGCATCGACTTCTCTCACGTCTTCTGCAGAAGCCTTCGCACTCAACGAACGGCATTCCCACGACAGCCGGTTCTACGTACCGGAATGACTCGGGTTTTACCCGAACAATGGCTGTTGTTTCGGCGATCTAACCCAGTTTAAGTCGGTGAAATATCTCAGACGTTGTTCTTCCATAGGGCTCTGCTCAGGGCTGGCATCGAGTCAAACTCTGGGCCAGGAAACTTACACCTGTTGTGTATGCCCGAGACGACTATACCACAACTCCACCTCAGTCAAGTGAAATGCTTGCACGTGAAGTCACCTTAGAGTCTGCTCAGGCCTACGGACACCGTCAGTGGACCACTTCATTTGTGGCCCCGTGCTGGTCCAACGGAGCTGCCTCCAAGGCAAACCCCAGTCCGCATGAACAGCTTAACACAAACACGACAGCATAACAACACAGCACAATAGACAGATCCACAACAGATACATACAACCGCACCAATACCCACACGCCGCCGCCAACAACTCGTAGTTCCCCCTACAATCTGCATGGTGTGTCAGACCAGGATATTCCGTAATGTGACATCAGTCAAGTGCAACACCTGCCTTGGCTGGTGCCACTTCAGGGCATGTTCCGGTCTACGCACCACGCAAGATTGGACGGGGAACTTCGAGGGCCCAGGTTGAGCTGCACGTCGAAAGCCCCATCTGCGGCGCCACCCACTACCTCCACAGGGAGGCACCTATCACAGCAACGCACACAGCCACACGAAGCGCCTTCAATTTAAATGTAACGGGCGTCAGAGAAAGATCAAGGAGATAACCGTCTTCATGGGAAGGCATGGAATATTGATAGCTGTGGTCCAAGAGACGAAGTTGCGCAGCAATTCAACGTTACGTGACGGATACAATGTTCACCGTCGAGATCGCGAGCGAGATAATGGTGGAGGCCTAGCGTTTATCACGCACCACACCGTGCAGTATCGTCTCGTCGAAGCAGACATCGAATGTCAGGGCCTTGCTATCCGGTCAGGCGATGTCGAGCTCGAAATATTTATCGTTTATGTATCCCCTGAAATTGGTGCGCTCCTATCTGCCCATAGTCATCTCGATCGATAAACCTGCCGACTTTGCTTCCGCGGAACACCGTACCTATCTATATCAAATTTACCAAAGCTGATTGGAAAGGCTTCGCAGAATTTACCGACCCCAAATTTTCCTGCTGAAGCGGCTGTCCTTGCCGATCAGCGTGACAACCTTTGTCAGGCCGATCCTGGAAATCCCCGTATCAGCGATCTCAACATGGAGATTCGGCAGCTGATCATCTGAAGACTTGCAACTTCACCTTTGGTGTGAGTAAGCACTGGTCAACCGTGAGGTCATTCTTAAATCCGACGAAGCGCGACGACAGAGTCGAAATATCTTTCGGCGACCGAAAACAACGAACGAAACAGTTTTAGAAAACACCTTTCGACCCTACTCCTAAAGGTGGTTCACAGACGGCTTAAAAACTGGCGAAGGCTTAGGAGCAGGAATATACGGCCCCAAGGCCAATATCAACATTCCCTTTAGGCAACTACTCCAGTATCTTTCAGGCGGAGGTTTTTGCTGTCAGTGTTTTTCGCGGAAGTAATTCAAGAAGACAGCACATTGTCATCCGTAGCGAGAGTCAGGCTAGACTAAAAGACGTCTTCTCGCATGAAATTAATTCAAGATTAGTATGGGAATGTCTAACGAGACTGGAAACGCCCTGGGGGAACTCCACAAAGCACAGCTGATATGTGACCCACCACAAAGGTATACAGGGCAACGAGGAGGCTGGCAGGCTAGCTGGAGAAGCAGGAACCACTCGACCTTCATATAGAACCAGAACCCATACTTGCGGTCTGCCCTGACACTGTCAGGAAAGAGTTAAGGGCAGAAGAATGACACCTAAGTTGAACACGCTGGGAAAACACATCTGGACTACGGCAGCCGAAAGGACTTCTATACGGCTATAACCCCAGAAGATCCAGAGAACTTATCACACTCCACAAGACGAATTTGAGATTTATAAGACGACTGCTCACAGGTCACTGCAGGCTGCGGGTCCATACGGTGACAGAATACCAGAAACCTCGCGGCATCTCCTCTCAGAATTTGATGTGGTGGAGAGAAGGAAGACTTGGGAAGGTAGTGCCCGGAGGCTTCAGATATTCACTCTCTACAGCCCTCTAAACTGGTTGGCTTCATCAGAGCATTAGGGCTGGACGATGTGTTGTGATGAGCTCTGAGGGTACAATGGACCTAAGGTCGCAGTGCACGTCCTCTAAGAAATGTGTTCTATTCTACCCACGGTTTTTTGACCCCTCCGTTTTCCCTTGTGAATAACTTTCCACTCTTAGACTGACTTCTGCTCTACGACTATTTTTTCTCTGCTTTTTAGGCGCTGGCATTCGTTGCTTTGCTATCGATCTCTTCTATGGAACTTTCGTCGAAAATCAGAGTCTTATTTTGCGTCTGCGCGAAAGTGAGTTAAGCTACTCAAAAGAAATCGGCTTCCCTATTTCGTCCACAATCTTCGCCAAACTCAGTCCACGTCTGCAGTATACTGGCTTGATGGAACCACCCGACCTGGTTGTGATACTTAACAAAGGTGATGAAATCATGCTGACCAATAAGCGCGAATGGTCGACACACTGCTCCAAGAAGCGCGTCTACGTCAATGCGGGCTTCCTTTTCCATGAGGTGAATATTTTCGACTACATATGCATCGGGTGCGATGTACAGGTATCTGTCCGCAAGAAGGACGCTAATCTGCGATGCGTAGTTGAAGTGGGCGGTGAAATCAGGTCGCGGCTACCTGTGCTCTTTCCATCGCACTGCAGCAAGTTCCTAGCTTCACAGGAGGAATTAGAGGATATTACATTCTGCAAGGAGGTGGGCATAAATGTGCTTGTGTCGTATATTGGCGGCACACAGGAGTACTTTGATAATTTGCAGTACGCATTGAAAACGCTGGGATGTGAGAATATACGCCTCTATGCGCGAATTGTGATCAACGAGGTAAAAGGCTGCGACACCGACGTCAATTGGATGGCCGAGCACTATGATGGTTTCGTCATTGCCTTAAGTCCTTCTCAGCAGCATCCAGAGTCGGCCATACTGCACCTTTGTCCGGCCGCTGAAGAGCTCATGAAGCGTGCGTATCTGCTGCAGAAAGTGATTGTTTTGGAACCCAGTTTGATCGCTAACAAGCAGCTAATTGTCGAACCAGCACACTATCGCCACATATTTCTCTACCCCGACAAATACATTATGCCATGTGATCACACACAAAGCTCGTTTCACTTCTTCTACCTGCAGAACTCGATCTCCGAGTTGCTGATCGAGGAGGCGCTTAGTAAGGTGGCATACTGCGATCGATCGCTTACAGGCAGCGATTCCCTGGCGCGCTCCGTGGTCTGCGCTTCATACGAAATGAACGCTCCGCTGATATTCGTTTGCTCTCTGACAGGTCGCATGGCCGCGAAGATCGCCCACTTTCGCCCGAAGGCCCACATCATTTTAATAACGCGCATGAAATCCGCCGAAACGTTCATTTCGATGCATCACAACGTCAGTTTACTGTACTATAACGGCAAGGCGGACGAAAATTGCTACCGCTCGCTGTACAAACACTTGCTCTTCGGATTGCTGTA